TGTAGCAACACATGGTGGGAGAAGACCAGGGATGCTGCTCAACTCCCTGCACAGCCCAGGACGCCCCACCTCAGACTCTGGCCCAGCCACAGACGCCCCCAGTGCCAACCCCAAGAATAGTTGTGGGAGCAGTATCTTATTGTACACCCCCTTCCCCACTTTGCCTCCTCAGCCCAAGGCCCTTTCCCTGGGCACCACTGAAGGTCAAGGACTTGTCATCAGGACAGATTAGCACTATGTGAATTAGGTCGGTCAGGACCAGGGAGTTTCTCACAGCTGCTCTGGACCCCAGACCCAGCAGGGTTCCATTTGATTCTAAGGGAAACATGGCAGTTCAACTGCACAGTTGCCCTGAAACCAGCCTGCAGGGAACCCTGGGGCCCCGTCCACGCTGCCGACCCCTCACCCACCTCACGGCCTGGGCCAGGTGGCCCCAGCACAGGTACGTCGTCCTGGCCAGGTACAGAAGCATGTTGCCCTGGTACTTGGGACTGGCCCTGACCAGGTAGGTGCTGGAGAGCTCTGTGTTTTGATATAAAGCTGCAAAGAAACACAAAGAATAGGTTGGATTCTAAGTCACTGTCATATGCCCAGAGGCCACGGTGCAGCTTTGAGGCAAGTCCCGGCTGCGAGCCTCCCCTTCCCTGCACGTCTGTAAATGGCCAATCCCGTGCCTGAGCGTGCGTCCTTGTCTCCTGTCGTGGGAACCAGGGTTCACGAATCTCCCATCCTAAAAATGGACAGAACGGGCAACATACAGCTAAAATCTTGAATTTTGTCAAGTAAGGACATTAAAAGCAAAACAGAACCCACCATCACCACATTTCATAAGAGAAAAGCCAACTCAACACCAAAATAAGGATATAACGTCGTATCGAATGGCAACTCTTTAACAGGATAGATTTAGTTCGATTGAGAATTACTCCCTTGTGGGCGCTTTCCCCCCGTTTTCGCTTGCTCACTGCATACCTCGTGAGGGTAGCAATGCATGCACCAGCCCTTGGAGACCCCTAGAATGCGGTCAGCAAAGTACAGCCTGGGCAGTAAACGTGGCCCACTGCTTGTGTTTGTAAATAAAGTTTTATTGAAATCCAGACATGCCCGCTCATTTACATAAAGCCTCCTTGAGCCCAAAGCTGCTTCAACATGTCCTACACGGCTGGAAATACTTATTCTCTGGTTCCTCACGGGAAAATTGTGCCGCGTACGTATTGAAATGCCAAGCCGGCCTACCTTTTCCTCTGCTCGTCTCCACCTGAAGCAGCTTCAGGGACACGCAGGTGTCCAGCAGGAGCCGTGTCCCATGGGAGCTGGTGCCCAGACGCACAGCCACTGCCGCCGAGCCCAGGGGCTCTGGGGCCTCAGAGAGGAGGTCAAACACACCCAGCTCACAGGCGGCAAACAGAACCTCGGAAACAAGGGGCCAGCGGTGAGCGAGCCTCCTGGGGACCACACTCACAGAAGCGCGGGGAGGCAGGGATGTGATTTCAGAGGACACAGTGCTGCCATGGAGAACACTATGGCAGTTCCTTAAAAACTCAGACGCAACGGTTGTGGAAACCAGGAGTTCGGCTTCTGCGTGTGGACTCCAAGGAATTCTAAGTGGACCTTGGAAAAGACCCTGTGGTTCCGTGCTTACTGGAGCGTCGTCCACGGGAGCCAAGATGTGGAAGAACCAAGTGTCCACGGATGGATGCAAGGATGAGCAGATTGTGGTCCATGCACACAGTGGACTATTCTGCAGGCTTGAAAAGGAAGGACGTTCTGCACCTGCTACAACGTGCATGGACCTTGGGGACATGATGCTCAGTGACACAAGCCACACACAGAAGGACAGATCCTGTGTGATCCCACGTATATGGCGTCTCTAAACAAGACACATCCATGGAGACAGAGACTAGATGGTGGAGCCAGGGGCTGGGGACGGGGACGGGGAGTCAGTGGTTCATGGGGACACAGCTTCAGTTTGAGAAGATGGAAAGTTCTGGAGACAGATGGTGGCGATAAGTGCAAAACAGTGTGAATGGGCTCAGAGCCACTGATCTGTGCATGCAAAACAATTAAAACAGTGAACTTTGTGGTATTTCTATTTTAAAACAATAACATTTTCAAAAAAATTAAAAATAAAAAAATGTTTAAAAATAAAAACAATAACATTGTCAAATTAAATTTTAAATTGAAACCTCCAGTTAATTTTTTAAAATTTTTTTCAACGTTTTTATTTATTTTTGGGACAGAGAGAGACAGAGCATGAACGGGGGAGGGGCAGAGAGAGAGGGAGACACAGAATCGGAAACAGGCTCCAGGCTCTGAGCCATCAGCCCAGAGCCCGACGCGGGGTTCGAACCACGGACCGCGAGATCGTGACCTGGCTGAAGTCGGACGCTTAACCGACTGCACCACCCAGGCGCCCCTTAATTTTTTAAATTGAAAACAAAAACGTGTTTAAACAGAACTTACACAAATATTTGAATATGTTAAATTAATATCTTAAATACTAACGTATTTAAATATTTAGACTAGAGTACATAAAACAAATAAAATAAATAAAATTTGAATAAATAAGTATTTTAAACAGAACAGAATCGAGTACATGAAACAAATAAATAAAATAAAAAATTACACTCGGGCTTTGTCTCCCTCTGTCTCAAAAATAAGTAAACATTTAAAAAAATTTATTTTTAAAAAAAGGGGCGCCTGGGTGCCTCAGTCGGTTAAGCATCCAACTTTGTCTCAGGTCACGATCTCATGGGTTCATGGGTTCGAGCCCCACATCAGGCTCTGTGCTGACAGCTCAGAGCTTGGAACCTGCTTCAGATTCTATGTCTCCCTCTCTCTCTGCCCCTCCCCGACTCGCACTCTGTCTCAAAAATAAATAAACATTTTTTAAAATTAAAAATAAATAAATAAAACTAATTAAAATCTAAAGTAAAGTAAGATGAAATAAAGAAAAAATTAAGTTAAATTTAAATACAAAATAAGGAACAGGAAAAATAAATTGGAATAAAATAAAATAAATAAATATAATAAAGTAAAATTAACTAAAGTGTAATAAAATAAAATAAAATAAAACATAACAAAATAAAATAAAATGGAATGAAATAAAACAAAACAAAATAAAATAAAATAGAATAGAATAGAATAAAATGAAATGAAATAAAATGAAATGTAATGAAATATAATGAAATGTAATGAAATAAAATAAAATAAAGCAAAACAAAACAAAATAAAATATAATGAAATGAAATATCATAAAATAAATAAAATAAAATAAAATAAAACAAAACAAAATAACATAAAATATAATGAACTGAAATATAATAAAATAAGATAAATGAAATAAAATAAAACATAAGAAAACAAAAAGAAATAATATGAAATGAAATAAAGTAAAATGAAATGCAATGAAATAAAACAAAACAAAATGAAACAAAACAAAATAAAATAAAATATAATGAAATGAAATGAAATAAAATATAATAAAATAAAATAAATAAAATAAAATAAAACATAGCAAAACGAGACAAAATAAAATAAAACAAAAAATAAAACAAAATAAAATAAAATAAAACAAAACAAAATAAAACATAAAATAAAATAAAACAAAAGGAAATAAAACAAAATAAAAGATAAAATAAAATAAAACAAAAAATAAAATAAAATAAAAAATAAAACAAAACAAAATAAAATAAAATAAAATAAAAAATAAAACAAAACAAAATAAAATAAAATAAAAAATAAAACAAAACAAAACAAAACAAAATAAAATAAAAAATAAAATAAAACAAAACAAAATAAAATAAAATAAAAAATAAAAAATAAAACAAAACAAAATAAAATAAAATAAAACAAAATAAAACAAAATAAAATAAAATAAAGTAAAATAAAATAGAATAAAAAATAAAATAAAAAATAAAACAAAACAAAATAAAATAAAATAAAAAATAAAACAAAACAAAATAAAATAAAATAAAAAATAAAACAAAACAAAATAAAATAAAATAAAGTAAAATAAAATAGAATAAAACAAGATAAAACAAAAAACGAAACAAAACCAAACCAAATTCGAATCCGCTTCCACTGTGCACTCGGGAAGCACCTGTTCGTGCCGCTGGGGGGCGCTGTGGGGTCGACCAGGTGTCCAGGGTGTCGCCATCCAGCGGACAGGTTGGTCCTCAGGCCGGGTGAGGGCCAGGGCTGGGGGCGCGACGAGCCCCTCCCGCGGCTGGGCAGCCCGCAAGGGGGCGCCCGAGCGAGCGGCTCTGGGGTACCGCCTCCCGCCGTTCCCCCCCCCCCCCCCGTCGGGCGCCACAAGTGGTGGATAAAAAAAGCGCCCCCCCCCCCCGCCTGCCCCGCCGTCGGGCCCGGAACAGCATCGCCCCGCAAAGAAACAGCCTGGGACCCGTCCCGGCAAAGACGCAGCGTCAGAAGGAAGCCTCGCGCCCCAAAGAGGAGGACGCGCGAGGGCCAGGGACACACGGAAGCACGCGCACGGCCACGTGGCCTTCCCACAGCGTCACCCTTTGCGTCCCGACCCCTGGCAGCGACCTTCCCTGCAAGGGGGCCTCAGAGCCGCGACGCCTGTCGCTTATGGGGTGCCCACGGCTCCGTCTGGGGACCTTGACAGCTCGCGCCTGCAAGTGATGCGCAAAGCCTTCCACGCACCGGCAAATCATCATCGCGTTGTGCTTCTCCTCTTGCACAGTGTTTCGCATGGCTGCAGGGTCGGGGCGACCGCGCTGACCGTGGCCACTCGCGTCCCACGTGGGCAGATGGCCCTTGGAGACAGGCGCGACCCACGGCATGGTCACCGCACGCGGATGACGAGCGCCGGCTCCACACGAGCCTGGACGCGAAGAGCGGTAGGTCCGCCTGCGTCCAACGCGACCGTCGAGGCTACAGTTTCCTCCCGCGCTGAGCTCGCTGCACAGCCCCAAAGATGCGCGCGGCCCGAGGGGACCGGGGGCCTGTCGTCACGCTGTGTTAACTCGTACCCTGTGATGAGGGTCCTACCAAGTGTTAGCCGCGAAGCCAGGGCTCCCGGACCTCAGCACGGCTGACGTCGGGGGCCGGAAGACCCTCTGGGCCCGGGCGTGCTGTGCACCGTAGGGCGATGAGCAACGTCTCTGGTCTCCACCTGCCACAGGCCAGGGGCGCCCCCATCCCGGCTGTGACAATCAAAAACGCGCCCCGACACTGCCAAGAGTCTCCTGGGGGTAAGGCCCCTGGAGTAAAGTTCTATCCATTTATCGACAAGCTCTATCTATAAAATCCCGTTAAAATCATACCAAATCTGCGCGAGTTTGTACGGTTTGCGCTCTGTTATAGTTACACCGCCTCTTACTTGATTGAGGTTGTATCACCTGTTGTCACCCTTTCATTACTTGGTATTCTACTAAGGTTGTGTTAACTAGTCCCTTACAAAAGTTGTCTTAACTCCCCCTGTACTAAGGTTGTTGCGCTAACTCTCCCTGTACGAAGGTTGTGCTCACACTCCACGTACTAAAGTTGTGTTAATTCTCCCTGTACTAAAATTGTGTACTAAAATTGTACAAAGGTTCTGGTAACTCTCCCTGTACAAAGGTTGTTGTATTAACTCTCCCTGTACTAAGGTTGCGTGAACTCTCCCGGTACGAAGGTCGTGTTAACACTCCCTGTACTAAAATTGTGTTAACTCTCCCTATACTAAGGTTATGTTAACTCTCCTTGTACTAAGGTTGTTGTGTTAACTCTCCCTGTACGAAGGTTGTGTTAACACTCCATGTACTAAGGTTGTGTTAATTCTCCCTGTACTAAAATTGTGTACTAAAATTGTACAAACGTTGTAGTAACTCTCCCTGTACAGGTTGTTGTGTTAACTCTCTGTACTAAGGTTGTGTTAACTCTCCCCCTACAAAGATTGTGTTAACTCTCCCTGTACTAACATTGTGTTAACTCTCCCTGTACTAAGATTATGTTAACTCTCCCTGTACG